GGAACTGCAGTATGAACCAAACACTTTTAGGAAAAAACTAAATTTTACACTCCATTTACTAACAAGACTTTTTATATGCTTCTTTAATTTTTATCCGGTTTTAACTCCTGCAGCTAACTTCAAGGTCATATGTCATGTCTGGAAACACTGACAACACTCCCACATAAAATCACCACAACATTGCTTTTCTGTTACAGATGGGAATAGACACAGTACACAATTCCTTCACAGAAGTGAAACAGTCCATTAAACGGATTCTGCTTTTGGCAGACATTCTAGCATCTGTAGACTTCAAAACTTGAAGCTTGTATTATTCCATTGTAAATTCTTTGCCAAGGATGGCAACTGTGTGACCTGTAGACTAAGCTTACCCCACCGAGTTCTTCAATAATGCCAACAGATGGCTTTTATTTTTAAAAAGTAAGTAAAGGCTACAGAACCCAGCATGCAGCGTTTCATTTTAAGTACAGCAGGTAGGTAGGCTCAACATGTAATACTGCATGTTGGGACATATGCATACAAATACATATTGTACCTCCACAAAGAAAAAAATATCTACAGTAAGTCATTCATACAAATTAGATTGACAGCAGGGACAAAGTTTGGGCACCCCAGCTCTGAAGGCATATCTAAACGTTACTATAAAGATATGCTAATCAAGATCTTCAAGTAGATGCCGAAAATCTGGCTGTTATGTCTCGATTTCAACAGAGCTTCTGGGTGTTTTGAAAGTCATGCCACTTATATAAGAATCTAATTTTAGGTTCCTTTTTGGTCAAGTTTACTCAGAGTAGATAATTTATGCTTGCTAAACTAAATATGAAGTTATAAAAATATTACCCAACACAAAGTACAATGTTAGCTGCCAGTGCACTATATAAAATTAGGAGGTGGAAACATTCAAGAGGGCATTAACCTTAAAAAAAAAAAAAAAAAAAAAAGAAAACAACAACTTCTTTGACCCCTCTGAGAAATTCTGTATACATTTTGGTTCACTTAGGATCTCTCAGAATACATCACATTATTACACATGTAACGTCTCCTCTCCATCTGTAAGGTGTCAGATTGTACCATTCTGGGATATCTCAAGTGAACCAGAAAGTACCAGGAAGATGTGTTAGCAGGAATACAAAAATTCAATTAAAAAATTCTAAGTTACTAGCCTATAGCTTCCACTTCATAACAGAAGGTTGGTTAAAAAAAAAAACAAACAAACAAACAAACAAACAACACAACCCTTTTTATTCCTGAAGCAATAAAATGAGCTGTTGGCTAATTCTGATACCTAGTGCTAATTTAAAAGTCAGTCTGGTCTGGAAAAGTATACTCATGACAAGTCTGAGTGTCCAAAGTGACCAATTTCATAAATATTAGGAATCCAACACAAAAAAGTCCTTTTACTTTATGATCACAGGCTAACTTGTGACATACTTTATTGCATGGTGAGTTTTATTTGAGCAACAGGAATCAGATTGGTACTGCTATACCTATGTATGAAAGCATTAACAATGAGGTTTAATTTCCATATCCAAATAAAAGAACTATTTTACAAAATTAATCATTTACTTCAAGATATGAATCTGAAACTGGGGGAGGAGCTGGTTTTTTTGTTGTTGTTGGTTTTGCTTTGTAGCTTTTCGTTTTACCTGTGATGTGCTTGCTTACAATTTATACATAACAGAGTGGCTAAAGTTACCAACTGCATACCTAAATAAGTTCCTTGTGCAGTAGAATAACAGGAACAAAGCCAGTACACTTTCCTTTTCATTGTTAGAATTCTGCGGTGACAAGTATTCCTATGACTAGAACATTAAGTGCATAGCCATAAAAGAGATACAAAGAAAGCTTCATATAATATATTAACTGTATATACTGAAAAGGGTAAAACACTATTCCATTAGAGTCCAAAGAGAACAGCCCGCTTTGTGTGACAAGTGGATGGTGAAAGGTCACTAGGAATTTTGTTACTGCTGTTGATTTCACATTGAAGGCACTCAGGACAGCAATGGGCAACAGCATAAAATTCAGAGAGTCAGACAAACATGACAGATAAAGAAATGGTATTATGCACTATTTATATAGCTTTAAGAAATGTGCTTGCCAAAAAAAAAAAAAAAAAAGCCTACAAAACTAAACTTTGATCATCCACAGCTCAAAACAGACTCTCTTAGTTTTACATAATTAGTCATATTGCATCCAGGCACAAACAAAAGCTTGTTAATACTACCAAACATTTTCCATTTCACCACACGAGGTGTTTTACACTATTTTTGTAAACAAACTTTAGCTTTCCATCATTAGTTTATCAGCTGACTAGAAAGCGTGAAAGAGTTCTGAAAATGTTTTCAAAACTCAAACTAGTGCCTACAAGCAAAATTTTCATATACAACTTGTACAAAATAAAGAAAAGAGGTGTGGAAGGCAGTTTACAAAAGAAACACCCTCACAAAAAAAAAAAGGAAGCATGGACCTGAAGGACAGTAAACAAATTTAATATTAGGTATTCGCACACTGTCAGAGCATGCAAGCCATAAGGAGAAAAAAAAAGATAAAGCAAGCAACTGGAAGTACCACACAGGTCAAAGTTGAAAAAATTCTGCCAGTATAATACCTAAAGGATTTTAAATCTGGCATTCCGTTTTGAATTTAAACAGCAACAAAAAAAACCCAAAAACGAAACACGCAGCAGTAGCAGCCAAGTTAAGTAAAAACCTTATTTCCACAGGATTGCCAATAATCAGTAAAGCGCACAACTATTTGTGCAGGACTGTCCTGGACTGCAAGTTGAGCTGCTAAACGCTACTGAAAATAGTTCATCAGTATTGCAAAATTTCAAGAAGTTATGTTTTAGCCTTTTTATAAAGAATTAAGTAAAAACTTACGAACAAACATGGTGTTCTTTTATTCATTTAACCAATTTCTTACAAGTTTTATGCCATCCAGGGTAGGAATTACATTTTTATATACAATACTAGGGTGTCAATATTACCAAATTAAAATATGTCTAATACCCGAAGTGTAGTATTGGAAATAAATTTTCTTGAAATAGAACAGTCTCAGAATTGCAGGGGTTTTCAGAAACTACAGAAGCCAGAGATACCATATACAGTAATAATACAATAGGCTAATAGGTTGGACTTCAAATATACAAGTAAGTTGTTTGTAATTCACTGCTATACATTATTATGCTGCTGACAGTGTTCAAAATACCAGCCAATAGTCTGCTGCCATTACTAATGCTTGACACAGGTCCCAATTAAAATTATGCACATTAGAAGCATTTGAGAGAGAGACTGTGCAATAGTTTCACTTTTTCAAAAATAGTTAGATTCTTTAATGTTCTAATAGTGCTGAGTGCTTCTATGGTCTGTATAGACAATGCATTTTCCAAGTTTTCAAAAAAAAATAAATAAACACAAATGTAGGTCTAACTCCCGCAAATTCCTCAGCAAGTGCTCATCTGTCAGTAAGTTACTATTCAAATGAAGAATCCTACTTAAGTGTGTACATAAATAATTGTAGGATCAGAACCTTAACCAAAGCAACACTTTAGGTCACTCTTTAGGGGCATTTAAAAAAAAAAAAAAAAAAAGTACAACACCCCTCTAACACAGGAACCTGAAATAAAAACAAACCATTCTGAAGTACTACACATATTAAAAAACAAGATGTTTTAATTGAAAACATATTCACCGAAACAGACAGAATATTTTATCGAAGTCAAAATGCCTAACAATTTTGTAAGCATTTTAAAGATTATTTTTCTATTAGCTAGCAAGTCTAAGTTACCCTAACCTTGAATTGTTGGGTTTTGTCAGCAAATATTAGTGGCTGCATTTTTGCATAAATGATAGAAATATCAACCTGATCCTGCATAATTATGAACAAACACCTACTTCTTAAAAAAGAAAAAAAAAGTTAATTGGTACAAAGTGTAACATGTTTAGACAGGCTTACACTGGAAAACTAAAAGTTCTTCCAGTCTGGAATAATATTTATGAATATGCACAAACACAACAGAAGTAAACCAACATGGGGGGAGGGGTGGAGAAGGTAGTAACCAACATATATTCTTCATTGAATTTTTTGGATTGTCACAAGGAAAATCCCTCTCCCCAAAATAATAACAGATCAGATCACAGCCATTTACATAGCACTATAAAAAAATATGGATCCTACAAGCTTAATTCCAAATTCTATCCTTGAATGCTTGTGTAGAATTTGTGTACAAATCCCATTAACACTGCCGACTTGACCTGAAAAAATAAATAATTCGGGTTTAATCTTAATATTTTACATTGTGAGAAAACTATTGAAGAATGCTTTTTTAAAAGGTACACTTTCAGTATAAGGGACAATACCCACTTTTTTCAAACGTTACTACTGAAAACAGACTTCCAAAGGAGATGAAAGTGTATTTTTACAACAAAATTAAACTGTAACAAATTAAGCCTGCAATCCTGTCTAGATAGACAACACACAGGCAAGACTGGAGGAAAATAAACAATTCTGATGTCAGACCTAGGGTCAGTTACTCAGTTAAATGGCACTCTCAACTTTCACAAAGAGCTAGCGCTAAAGACCAACATTACCAAATGTGAGCAGGGTTCTAGGGCTACTCTAAGTCGCCCAACTGACAACACCTTTATGGGACCTGATGTTCAGGAAGTAACAAGTACTCATTCTTTAGAAGTTGGGCCCTTCCAAATGACATCTTAATTTGGGCACTCCAGCTGTTAAAGTCCTTTCTTAAATTCTCAGATAACTTTAGACTAGCATTAACAGTTAAGGCACAAGGAGCAGAGTCTCCTAACAGAGTTTCATAAGTAGTTACAACTTTTTAGAGAAGGATGCACAAAACAAAACGTTCTTTCCACCACAACGTCATTAGCTTCAGTGCAACTTCCTGAAAATGAAACCAAAATACCACTTGCGAGACAATGACAAATTACTTTGTGATGTGAAGCATTCAAATTCCCTCGTAATAAAAGGACTGGTACCTTGAAGTCTGGAAGCTTACAACATACCATCAGGAATTCTCCGGGCGAGCAGTGATGCTGTTATACCAGTACTTGAGAAACAAGGACAAGATCTTGCAAACCTTGTTCTATTAACAACAGACAGTGATGAAATGTCCCGTTCTAAGAGGAGACTCAAAGAACACCGGTGCTTGAACAAAGTCCTTCCTAGGCCTAAATACAGGACTTTTGCCATAAAAATCGAAATAGCCGCATTTTGGTGACTATTCTAGATCTATACGCCATAACGGTTTAACCCTCCCTCCCAGCAGCATGATTCCTATTGGCCGGTATGACAGCAAGTCCAATCATCCTTAAATCACCTGGTTGAAGAGTAAAGCCCAGCAGCCACCCACCACCCCAGCAGACTTTAGCACCATCAAGACTATGAACAAATGTTGCCTTCAAGACACCACGCACACTCGGGCAGATGTGAAAATGTGACACCCGCTGCCAAGTGTCAGCGGGAGAGCAGCAGGGCAGAGATTAAGTTTCTCCAACAAAATAGATTTTTAAATTTTTTTTTTTTTTTTTAAAGTCAAAAGCTGCTTTTGGCAATCACCTCCCTGAAGGTGCGGGGGGAGGAAGACACCACGGCTGTACCCAAGTTCTACCCCAGAGGCAAGAGAGCTCAGACAGAAGTTACCTGTGGCTTCAGGCCGACTTCTCTTT